CATACATACATACATACATACATACATACATACATACATACATACATACATACATACATACATACATACATACATACATGCATACATACATACATACATGCATACATGCATGCATACATACATACATACATACATACATACATACATACATACATACATAAAATAGTTAATATAACGGGTGATCCTAACGAAGGCAATTATTTAAAACAAACTCTTTCACTTTTATTACAAAAATTTAATTCCTTTTGCATTCTGGATGGAGCTGCTAGATACCTGACTGTGCGAGACCAGGGACATAGATAAAAATTGAACTCGGAAACGATTGCATGCCTAACCATGGCTTGTTCATCAAAACGGGTTCATACATGCATACATACATACATACATACATACATACATACATACATACATACATACATACATACATACATACATACATACATACATACATACATACATACATACGTACATACGTACATACATACATACATACATACGTACATACGTACATACGATTGAGATTTGCCATTGGCTTCAGACTTGGCCTGGTCATTCAGAATAAATACACGTGCCGATGTGGCGCAGGGGCGGACGAGTTTGGGCACCACGGTTTGGTTTGTCGCCTGGGTGGGGGCCGTCAACTACGTCACTCAGCGCTAAACGAATACATTTGTCGGCTCTTCTCCAAGGCTTCAATCCCGGTTCTCAAGGAACCATCCGGCATTTCTGCGCATGATGGTAGGCGCCCGGACGGATGCACACTAATACCTTGGAGAGCCGGCAGATGTTTGGCGTGGGATGTTACGGTCCCTGGCACCCTCGCTGAACGATACGTAAACCTGACAAAAAAAGAATGCCGTTTGGCCGCGGCCAGGGCAGCGGACGAGAAAATGAAAAAATATGGGAGCGCCCTCTCCTCGATGGAATTCTTGCCAATATGTATCGAGGTTCTCGGCCCGATGGACCCAAACACCCTTAAATTTCTTAAGGCAATATGCAAAATGATCAGCGTCAGATCAGGCGACAGCAGGGAACTGTTTTTCGCAACTAACCACATTTCGTGCTTGTTGCAGCGGTTCCTGCGTGTCTGTGTGCTTGAAAATATCCAACTGAATGCCGACATGTGCAATTAACGACAAATCAAAGTGTTAATCCATTTGTTACTTGATGTTTGACGGTTCAGTGTCACTCATCATGTTTTGGTTTTAACGTACATACGTACATAAGTACATACGTACATACGTACATACATACATACGTACATACACACATACGTACATACGAAACGTAACGAAACGAAATTTTATTTTCTCCTCCAAATTACAGATAATAAATAAGAGACAGGATGAATGTGATCGAGCCCATAATGGGCTCATCTAGCACAGCCACCTAGACAAATATGTTCAGAGTTTTGTGGTTAATATCAAATATTGTTAGTTGTTAGTATGTTAACAACAGATAATAAAACAAAAGGTAGTTAACTAAAAAATAATGTTTCATAGATAATTATAATCACAGATTATATACATACATACATACATACATACATACATACATACATACATACATACATACATACATACATACATACATACATACATACATACATACATACATACATACATACATACATACATACATACATACATACATACATACATACATACATACATACATACATACATATGAACAAACAATCTTACGTACTGTCATGCACATATAAATGATTGCATGACTTAACTTGGCTTACGAATGCAAACAGCGTACTTTTCTTAAACATACGCACGTACCATACGCACGCACGTACTCACTCACAGGGATCATCATCATCATCATCACCATTGTCATCATCTTCATCATAATCATCATCGTCGTCATCACATCTAGCAATAAGTGGCTTTTTCAAAGAAATACATTCTTATCCTGTATAGGCAGATTTGTATACTCGTGTTTTTTGTATGCGTGTGTATGTGTGTGTGTGTGTATGTATGTGTATGTATGTTTGTATGTGTGTATGTTTGTGTGTGTATGTATGTATGTTTGTATGTGTGTGTGTATGTTTGTGTTTGTGTGTGTGTGTATGTGTGTGTGTATGTGTGCTTGTCTATTTCTGCATATTATTATTTCTGTAATATCCATTTGCTGTTGTTGCAATTTGTAGTACTCCTACTATTACTACCGCTACTACATCTACTGCTACTACCACTGCTACTACTACTTTTCTGCTGTAGCTACTTCTACAACTGCTAATGATTACTACTTCAACTTCTTCTGCAATAGTATCAATAGGAGTAGTACTACAGTAGCAACAACAATTCGAAAATTCACAAGGGGTTTGACAATTGAATGTCAATAGATCGGGAAACAGCATGAAGGTATGTGTGCGTGTGTGTGTGTGCGTGGATGTGCGTGCATGTTTGTGAGTGTGTGCGTGCGTGGCGTGTGTGTGTATAAGTATGTATGTGTATTTCTGAGGCCAATTAATTAGACGATCGGAAGATGTGTGATGTTAATTTGCTTAAGTACGTTAATTTAATTGCGTTTGTTCATCCGTTTGTTTGTAGTAATAGTAGAAGTAGTAGTAGAAGTAGTAGTAGTAGTAGTAGTAGTAGTAATAGAAGTAGTAGTAGTAGTAGAAGTAGAAGTAGTAGTAGTAGTAGTAGTAGTAGAAGTAGTAGTAGTAGTAGTAATAGAAGTAGTAGTAGTAGTAGAAGTAGAAGTAGTAGAAGTATTAGTAGTAGTAGTATTAGTAATAGTAGTAGTAGTAGTAGTTTTAGTGGTAGTAGTAGAAGTAGTAGTAGTAGTAGTAGTAGTTGTAGTAGTAGTAGTAGTACTGTTTTGAAATTTAGCGGTTAAAAAGTTTGATATACGTAGGTACGCTATATGCAAATATTCCGCATTAAAAAAAACCTATTTAAAGATAAAAAATAAAATGCTTTTTTCGCATAGTCGTTTTATATTTTGGTCTTCCATTGAGATCCATGAAAGAAAATCGATATATTCAATTCGAATGTTGACATTTTATGGAAAAGAAGGATGCCACTTTTGAAATGAAATTTTTATCTTTGGTACGAAAAAACTTTGAATAATGTTGACAACTTTTAAAATTTAGACAAGTATTATTTTTAATTTACTTTTAAAATTGGTAAAAAAACCAAAATATTGAAAAAAATTAAAAAAGAAACTGGAAAAACTAATGATGCATAGACAACTTTAACCCCGCAGGGCCTTATTTATCAAATGAAAGCTTCTCCCTATGGCTCTTATGGATATGTTTGAGATTGTATGCATGCATGTTGTGTGTTTGTTGTTTTTTGGTGTGTGTGTTTATGTATGTGTTAGTACGTATGTGTTAGTATACGAATGTATGCACAATGAACACATTCATCAGGAATAGAGTCTTTTAAAAAAATGATTCTTAAATAGAACAATGCTTAATGCTTTTGTTAGGTCTATTCATTCAGAAAAATTGAAATAGTAATGGAGAAGAAGATAGACAAAGAGAGAGAGAGAGAAAGAGAGAGAGAGAGAGAAAGAGAGATGGAAAAAATGAGGCAAACGTTTAAAGTATGCATGCGTTAATATAAATCCAAATGGTTTTATGGTTATAGCACCTGGTCCTCCGCATTTGATTCATCGAATTTCCTTCGAGTAGTTGGCTCAAAGCTTCTTCACTCATTTTATGACTGAATCAATAAATGTGTGTGTATATGTGTGTATGTGTAGGTGTGTGTGGTGTGAATAGATGGATGAATGGATAAATATGTGTAAATTTCTTTTTTCCTTTGTTTGCAGACTTAAACACAGAATGGTACAAATACGATTTCGAATACAAACTGCCCGCCAATTTGCCACCATCTTTCAAAATGTCGGACGGAAGTAGAAAATATTACGCATGTGCAGTGGTATCCCAGCCAAACGGCCCTGACATTGAAAGCTACCAGGTAGGGTTTAAATTAGTCGGCGGTCTGGCATTTGATTCCTCACCTTGGTACCTTGCCGAACCATTTGAAATGAAGTAAGTTTAATTTTGTTATGGCATAAACTGTCTTTAAGAGATTAACTTTGACGTTTAATTTTGATGATCTTTGATTTTCATATACATACATTTATGTATATATATATATATATATATATATGAAACTGACAATTATATATCATATTTTGAAAAGGTGGCTGTGCTCGATAAGTCTTAAAGACTCCTCACAGCCATACCATGCCCTTAAATTATGCTTCAGTATTATGATATTTGTATTTACATCCATTCAATTTGCAATCATTACCGCTACAGATTTTCATCCAGTAGATACGATCCTCAAAAACGCTCACCGCCGTCATTATCTCCCTCATCAATTCCTCTCTCTTTTTCAACATCTTCCTTAATCAAATGTACGTGTTCGGTCAACAATAGCGGTGTCAAATCGCTTAGGAGTTGCGTCTCTAGATCAACGAACAAACAACAAATTGTTCAAATTTCTCGATTGGTTTCATTTTCTACCGAGGAAAAATTCTCAAACAAAGTTACTAAAAAGACTTTTAAATCTAAATTTCCAGAAAAATTATCGCCAACATCATCTATATCGTTCGAATCTTCGTCATCATCGTCTTCGTCGTCACTTTCATCATCACCATCGTGCTATCGATTTATAAACAGTGCCTTGTCAATTTTTGATCAAATCATTTGCCCTTTTTCTTGCAAGTTTCGTTGCTGTTGTTGCCGTCGCTGTCGCAGAATTAGGCAGAAATCGGTAGACAGGTCTAAACCGATTGCTCTTAAGAAGTTACATCTAAATGAAAATCTTTCCAACAAAAACATCAACAATCGAAATATTAACGACGTCAACAATATCAGCAACTGTCTCAGTGACACCTTAGATAAGAACCGAACCATTTCTAAACATGACAATCATCATCATCAAGACCATCATCATCATCATCAAGACCATCATCATCAAGACCGTCATCATCATCATCAAGACCATCATCATCAAGACCGTCATCATCATCATCAAGACCATCATCATCATCATCAAGACCATCATCATCAAGACCGTCATCATCATCATCAAGACCATCATCATCAAGACCGTCATCATCATCATCAAGACCATCATCATCATCATCAAGACCATCATCATCAAGACCGTCATCATCATCATCAAGACCATCATCATCAAGACCGTCATCATCATCATCAAGACCATCATCATCATCATCATGACCATCATCATAATCATGACAGTAGATGTCGACATTTATCTGATATTATCGAGTGCTGTTCACTCTTCTCATTCATCAACCAGGTTTCAATCAATCAATCAATCAATCAATCAATCAATCAATCAATCAATCAATCAATCAATCAATCAATCAATCAATCAATCAATCAATCAATCAATCAATCAATCAATCAATCAATCAATCAATCAATCAATCAATCAATCAATCAATCAATCAATCAATCAATCAATCAATCAATCAATCAATCAATCAATCTATCAATCAATCAATCTATCAATCAATCTATCAATCAATCTATCAATCAATCAATCAATCACTCCTAGTTGACTAATCAATCAATCAGTTAACCGATAACGCATTCTATCAAACTTGAAACCTCATCCAGCATTTATGCAAACGCTTTCTGTAATAAACTAACGAACAGCATGTAAGACGAATGAATTTAACAGTTACGAGTTATATCATAAAATGAAAATAAGCAGTTATCAAAAAATATAAATTCCATCTTTAAACCTAAACCAGCCGTTTCTTACGGAACCTCTGACGTCAGCCGTAGACATCAATTACGTCACAACATTCGGATCGGTTTCCGGTTCGTTCTGCATTAACCGACGGGTCTTCATTCCGAGAGACGAGGCGCACGTGACGTGTTGTGTCGACAATCATTCATCACGTGATCTCGTGTGTAGCATCAGCTTGCATCAGGTAGGCAGTTTCATTATTTCAATGTTTCTCTAATTCAATCACTTGTGACTGTGAGCTAGTTGCTGGTTGCGCGCTTGATTAAAAATGTTTCAAAAATGAAATGGTGTCTAGAAAACTCGAATGGTTGTTGGTTGTTTCACGAGGTAGAGTGAAATGAAATCTTCTTGAAAGGTGATATCATTTCGGGCGGACCACTGCGAAGGAGGCAGCGAAGAGGACAGCAGCAGGAAGGTTCTATTCATGAAACGACACATGCAATTACAACGGCAACCTATCAAGGAGGTCACGAAGATCACTGACAACAACCTTATTCAAACATCCAACCTTTCAGTTCAGGCAGGTGATTCCACTAGTTTCGGTTTCCGATTCCAAGTTCCTACCAATTTAACTTACAGCGATGCAAGTTCATTCAATTGTGATGACGGTTCAAAAAAATCGAGCGAAAGCAGCAGCCAAGCACTCCTCAACGCGAGCAATGACGTAGTTGACGTCATCGTCATCAGATACTTTTGCATGGTTGGTTAGCCCAGAGATAATTTGAAATAATTAAATATCGTTCCCGCTTGTTGAGCAATCTCGAAAGTCTAATAAATTATTTTTATTAAATTACTTTTCATAAATTAAGCTTCAGATATTACCAACGAAGGAAAAGACAAAGGCAAAAGAGAAGTATTTGGCACCAATCGAAGTTTGGATGGCGAGACGTTGAACTCACGATACAAAACACGCACGACAGCTTCAGCGCTCCAGCCAGATTTTTTTTATACTGCGTGTCTCGTCCAATCTCATTGTCAAAGCAAACCTCACTTTCAACTGCGCTCAAAATTTTGGGAGCTTGACGACTTGAAACAAAACATGCATGCGATCGAAACCTTAACGAAGCATACAGAAATAACGACAATAATTGTAAGACTTGCGCACAAAAACTCGTTTGTATAATTTTAACTGTTTCTACTCAATAAATTAAAAATGAAGTCAGCAAGTGTGACTTGTTTTTTATTTAAACAGAATCTAAACACTCAGTTCAGTTCACATTAGTATCAAACAAAGCATCAATGTGGAACATTATATCAATTAATTTATGATCTGGGTCGTTCCTTCTTGCCTTTGTAGAGGGCCAACAAGGAGACGCTGGCAACTTTGACGACCTTGAAACGAACTCCAGGAATATCTCCCACGGCGTGACCTTTACGACCGAATCCAGCTACCAGAACTTCATCGTTTTCCTATTAAAATTGAAATCATTATAAATTTTGTAAGTTACACAAAAAAATTTGAGGTACATTTTTTTGAATGACATAAATTAAAAAACATCACGTATACACATACTTCAATGAAGTTTAAGCAACCATCCCATGGCACAAAGGCGGTAATCTTCTTTCCATTTTTGATCAACTGAACTCTCACACATTTCCTGATGGCAGAGTTGGGCTGTTTGGCTTCAACACCACTGCAAATGTGCATATTATCCATTTAGTTTAAGTTAGGTATGTAGGTATGACATAAATAGTAGATTTTTTGACAACAGAACAAGCAAAAATTTGCACAAGTGAATTTAAATATCCTAACTCTTTAAAACCATTCACTTAATGTCTGCCTGCTGTACTATAAAGAAGCATAAGAAAGACCAATTGCACTAAGTTTAAGTAGCATTAATAAGTAATGTCTAATTTATGTATGTATATGTTGTATGTTGCTGTACCGGTACACTCTTCAATATTCTACCTATGACTATCCTTACTATATTACAGGGTAAACCCGGAGATTAGGAACTGGTTTTCCCATCAATATTTATTTATAGTCAACAGTTTAAAAAGCAACAAAGCTCCTCCTATGGAGCAACCAGTTTCGGATCTCCAAGTTTACCTTAATTTTCTAATTACAACTACTATCTTTACTACATTACAGACTAAAACACATTGATAATTATCGTCATTCAAGCAAACATAAAAAGAATTACATACAAAAGCGAAAAACTACATGAATATGCTCTTACCAGCATAAATAATTTAATAATCAACAAATTTTATAGCCATAAAATATGCCATGTGCTTTTCATTGATGATTGAATAATCAGAAATGATTAATTTTGTTAAAAGACAAAATTTAGACTAACACTTTTTCAAGAACGATTCCCTTAGCATGGGAGGCCCCACCGAACGGATTGGACTTCCATCTTGTACCGAGGTGAGATTTTTTATAATCTTTATCATTCCATCTCTGCTCACGTCTGTGATTCTTCAACTTACGAGCTGTCCTAAGACCGCGAGGCTTACCTAGAAAAAAGTTTTAAAATATCCAACTTAAATAATTATCATTCAGTGTCGATTTTTCAATTTAATTGTAACAAATTAGAGCTAAATAGAAAATAAATAAATAAAAAAATCAGAACGTCAACTCACCCATGTTCTCAGTGAAATGGCGATAGGAAAAAGGTTGTTTTCAGAAGATTCAGTAAGTATGACACTGCGATCGCCATAGAATACTTATTTTAGGCTTCTTTTGTCGATGATTAGGATTATTGATTTATAAAAATTATTTTACAAACACTATTTTTTTTAATTCTTTAATTAAAATACTATTTTTATCACAATAATACAAAAAATTTGGGCTACGGTTAGAGCATTTGTATTTCATCAACCAGGACGGTTCAACATTTTGCCTATTTAGTCGCGTTTTTTCTTGACATTGTTTTCTAGATTTACTTTTAATTTTAAAACATTCACTACTGGATTAGTTTCGATATTGTTCTGATCGAACATATTTAACGTATTTTAATGGCGGCTCTCCTCGATCTAGAGCATTTTGATTTAAAAAACACGGGAGATTTAGTTCAACAGGTAATATCAATGCCATACTATAACTCAATTTTAGACAGTCTCTTTCTAACCAGTCTAACTCTAACCAGTCTAATAATAATAAAATAATCAAAAATGCCTTCTAAATCTCTCTCTAATCTCTAATGCTAATCTAATGCTAATGAGCTAATCTAATCTAATCCTAATGTAACTTTACTATACTAAGCTGTTCATCTTTATCTTATTATTCATTTTCTAATTTCTTTTATCATGAATTATTTTATTAATTGTTATAGAATTTAAAATAGATTTATTTACATAAATAATGAACGTTAATTAACTCAGATACGATTGTTAACCATAATTTTTGTTTGCATTATCAACGTTTTTTATATTATTTTCAGACAGCTGCATTCCTATGGCTGCACAAAGGTGATGAATATAAAGATTTGTATAAGAAAGTTACTGGCCTCAGAGTTGCCAATGAATTGTTTCATAGAATAACTCAGAAAGATGACATTGAACAACTGCAGGCTAGTATTATTCATTATTTTTTATTTTTACATGTATATTATATTGTTTAATAGTTTTAACTTGCTAATTAGTTAATTAATAATTTTATAAATACAATAAAACATAAATAAATATATACATAAATAAATAATTATTTTTGACAGGCTCAATGTATTAGAGATGTTGCTGACTATGTGAAGAAGCATCCGAAGGCCACTGAATCTGAGCTTGTTAGGGAAATAACAAAACTCGTTAAGGAGTTCAAAGCTAAAGTGGAAAGCTCTTAAATTACAAAATCACTATTTTTCAAAAATCAATGTTTCATTTTTAATGTTGTTATTGCTAATGTATGCTATGCTATATACTTTTTTTTATCTTTATTAGCTGTCAAACTGTTCTCTTTTCAATTTAGTATTGTAAAATAAAGTTTTGTAATCAATGAGATATGCCTCATAACTATTAAAGAATTATAATTTTTGTGTTACATGCAGAGAAAAATATAGTTAGTTCAATAGTTGCATGCGCATGCGAGTATCCCAGTTTAAAATCGCATTTTCGTTTTGAATATTCAACCAAATGAGTATAGCGCGAGAGAGAAGAAAAAAGAAGAGAGAGAGAGAGAGTAAGAGTAGAAAGTGATTAGGTACATTGTACATTACAATATAATGTCTTAGAACGATCGAAATTGGTTAACTAAGACGCAGAACTGGACGCTCCACCTATTGAGCCAAAATCAAATTTGCTTGAAATTATGAGGCTGGAGAAATGCACATGCGAGATCATTCACTGCAACTACTAACGAAAATAATTTCTAACGGAAAGCACCAGATTTGATCACATACACAGCACGCACATAAAATGTATGATCGGCTTGACGCAATGACTCTACGCGTATTGATAGATGCCTGTTAATAATTAAACAGCTCCTTTTCAGTCAGGTGCGCCTTATTCAATTATTCAATGTGAATTGTGACTATAACGTAAAAATTCCCGTCATTCTGAAAAAGAGAATTGTTCAAAGCTACATTATAAGGATTTTAACTAATTTCGCAACAATTAAAATCGAAAAATGGGATTCATGATGTCAAAAGTTACACCATTATTGAAAAAGAAGGATGAAAATTACGAGCTGCAGGTATTGAAAGAGCACGACGCCGGTGTTAACGTGCTGGCGATGAATGACGAAGAAACAGTTTTGGCTACTGGTGGCGATGATAATGCAGTCAGGCTGTGGTCAGTCAGTGGTGACGCTGAAACCGAATGTCTCGCATTATTGGATGGTAGCGTGAAATATTTTTTTCATAAATTTATTTCAGTTTCATTTTAAAGTTAAAATTTTATCTTTTTCAAGGATACAAAATATTTACAAAAATGTTTACAACTTTTTAACATTCACATTTATATCGAATGAACTACAAATCATTGTAAAGGTCACACAGGCTATGTGAATTGTTTAACATTTGACGACATCTACCTCATATCTGGCAGTGCCGACAAATCCATCCACAAATGGAACATAACCTCATTCAAATGCGACCTCGTCTTTCAATCACACAAATCAGTCGTCAACAGGTTCGCTTCTTCCATCCATCTGTCTCTTTTTAATTCTAGCTAATATTTTAGTAACTAAAAGTTGAAACACACTCTAAAAAGTTATATAAAAATTTGAGCTAGGTGACCTTTATTTTCAAAACATTTAAGAGTTTTTAAGGGTTCAATTTTCTAGCATTAACGTATCTTAAACTTTTAATTGCCAACAGGTTGATAGTCAGTGGTGACTATTTATTCAGCAGTTCGTATGACCAAACAGCAATCAAATGGGACTTCAATACAGGAGAATGCCTGACAGTTTACACCGGACACAGGCTGGGTGTTTATCCGTTAGCATTTATTCCTGGCGGTACCAGCCGGTCCACTGATTACCATTACAACGACGTCAATAAGTACAATGGCGAATCAGATGATGGGGCAGCTAAGAAATTGACGTATAGAAAAGATAATGAAGTTAAAAAAAGTATTTTACCTTTTTGATTATCCTTTTGAAGTTCACATTAAAAATTATAATTGGTTAATCAATTAATCAATCAATCAATCAATTAATTAATTCAATATTCAATTAATTAATACACTAATTAATCAATTGAATAATTAGAGAAGTACCGAGGTGATATTCTCGTTACGGGCTCATCAGATCACACGGCCATAATGTGGAAGGTTGGTAGCGGAAAGGTTCTGTTCATGTTGGAAGGGCACAGTGGAGGGATAACTTGCCTGGCTCTGGATGATGCGGCAAAAAATATTTTCACCGGTTCTATGGACAAGACGATAAGATGCTGGAGTGTGGATGGTGGCGAGATGATACGTATGTTTGAAGGACACAGCAATTCTGTCATATGCATGATCGTACGTCAAGCATAATTTTGTAAATCTATCAACTATTTGTATCAAAATTTTGTAAAAAAAATAGCACATTAATACAAAATTTAAACAAATTAAAAAAAACAAAATTTAAATAGGTGAAAGGAAAATTAATGTACAGTGGCAGTTCTGATAGGACGGGTAAATCGTGGATCATTGAATTTGGAGATAGTACTCGAACATATCACGGTCACGAGCATACTGTTACGTGTATAAAATATGACGACGGCACAGGTGTGTGTATGTAATTTATCATCTTCATGTTAGATTCGAACGATAGATTTTTGAATTATAGATTGAGACACGTATAGATATATCGTAGTAATGGACATATGATATCAGTTCTCTAAATTTTATTAAAAAAACACACAAAACCAGTTTTTACAGGATGTGGCGACGGCATAGTTAGATGCTTTGATTCAAAAGCAGGTACTTTAAAAAGGACACTGGCTGGTCACACTTTGGCTGTGAATTCAATTCTGGTTAATTCTAGTTCAAATATATTTTTTATTCACCAACGGAGCTATTTTATGAAAACAATTTAGATATTATAGTTAACTAAATTAGTAACGACCTTAAGTTATCAGCTGAATTTGACAGATTAAAGGAGAGAAATTGTTCAGCGGATCAAATGATGGCACCTTGAGGATCTGGGACATATCCGACATGACTGATGAAACGGCATTTGCAAGCGAACAAAAACGGAAAAAGAAAGTGGAGAAAACTGTAAAAGACAAAAGCAATAGTGACCACCGACAACAGCATGCTGCACAAACAAGCAACAAATCTCGTAATAACGATAAGATAACTATTGAAGATGATTTTTGATTGGAGAATAATTTAATACAGTTTATTTGTTCATTGATTATGTGTATTATTTGAGTTAAATATTTTAATTTTGTGTAAAATATATAGAAAATATTCTAAGCGTATGATATAAAAATGTAACTGAAACGTGGAAAATTGTTTTGGCTGATGGCAACATACATTTATTAAGACTCATTAAAATCTCGAAAAATTGCGATCTAGTGTTTGCTTTTTGCATTTTGTACAGGTATTATTTAATAATTTTGTACAAATATGAACAAAGTTTAAAGTGTTTAAATGTTCTTACAACCTGGAATTGCTTCTTCCATTATTATTTGAGGTTATTTAAATGCTTTATTTACATGGATTTTTTTTACCGGCAGCCATTTTATTTATATCTATGTTAATAAAATAATACGTTTAGAAATTAAATAAAATGTCAGTTCTCTTAATTTCTTACTCGCTTGATGCGTGATTTGGTCTGTTATAAAATTTATTTAAATGTTAATTATTTTTTTCGCAATTTCCGAACAGCACTTTTAGAAAAAATTGTGTAATTTTTTAATTGTGATGACAATAGTCACTAATCCGTCACCAACTGGCGATGAACCTGACAATATAATTGCTAATGCAGCCAACAGCACATCTCAGCAAATCATTCCGACGGCCATGGAACACCAACAGACTGTTAATGCTTCTTCGCAAACAGCTCCACAAACAACAACCACTTCTGTAACAACAAATGGCTTAACAACAAATATTGTCAGTGTTGTATCCGAACTCGTCTCGGACCAGTCAGCTAAGGCAGATATTTCTGTTACTGCTAGTGTTGCAGAGAATGTAAATTTATTAGTGCCAGTTCAAGAAGTGTCAGATAAAGAAACAGCCTCACCTCTTATTTTACCTAGCTGTGCTCAAAGGGAAGCTGAACCGGACTTTCCCCATGTCGAACTTGGAAAGTTAGATGAAATGATTAATAGACAGAGGTGGGTTGTTCCAGTACTGCCTGGTAATGAGTTAGAGGTATTATTAGATGCTTCAATAGATTTATGTCGAAGAGGCCTAGATACAAAAAGTGAAGCCTGCCAAAGATTTTTTAGAGAAGGGTTGACAATTTCGTTCACAAAAGTGCTAACAGATGATGCAGTTAGTGGATGGAAAACTGAAATTCACAAGTGTATTTTGAAAAATTCAGAAAAATTAGTTGAATTATGCGTTTTAAAGCTAGACCAAGACTGGTTTCCATTACTTGATTTATTAGCAATTGTATTTAATCCTAATTGTAAGTTTCATTCATTCAATGCAAACAAGTTACCTGAAAGATTGATGTCTGAACTCGATGAAGAGGTATTTGCCAAACCATTTTCAGACCAGAGACCACAAAGAGGATGGTTAGTTGATTTAATAAATTTATTTGGTTCGCTGGATGGCTTTAAAATCTTATTAGAGAGATTCAACTCTAATTTGTCGATACCCGTGGTTGCTGCACTGATCAGACCTTTTGGCATCTGTGCTGAAATGTTGACTGTCAGTACCTTAGAAAAATATTTTATGCCTATAGTCGAAAAAATCACATTATATTTAGATAATCTGACTGATGATGAATTGAAAAGGGAGGCCAAAATGGAGGCTAAAAATGATACTTTATCTAATATAATAAACTCTTTGAAGTGTGTTGTGGCTAGGTTGCCTAATCAAGAGGAAAAAGTGAAAAGTTTAGAAATGTTCAGACTTCAGATTATTTTCAGACTGCTACAAATATCATCATTCAATGGCAAGATGAATGCCCTGAATGAAATCAACAAACTGATAACAAGCATATCATACAACATTAACAAACACAGTCAATCAGACTGCGACGATTGGTTAACTCCTGAAAAAATAGCTGAATGGTTAGGTAATAATGATGTCTTGTCAATAGTTTTGAGGGACAGCTTGCATCAACCTCAATATGTTGAGAAGTTAGAAAAAATTGTTCGATTCATGATAAAGGAGAAGGCATTAAATTTGCAGGATCTCGACCGAATATGGGAGGCTCAGACGGGAAAGCATGAAGCCATTGTAAAAAACGTTCATGACCTCTTGGCTAAGTTAGCCTGGGATTTCACACCACTGCAGTTAGACCATTTATTCGAATGTTTCCAAGCTAGCTGGGGACATGCCAGCAAAAAGCAGAGAGAGAAATTATTAGAATTAATTAGAAGATTGGCCGAAGATGATAAAGAGGGAATAATGGCCAACAAGGTATTGGTACTTCTGTGGTCTCTTGCTCAGAGTGAAGATGTATCCACTGATATAATGGACCAGGCTTTGGTTGCTCATATAAAAATTCTTGATTACAGCTGTTCACAAGTTTCTTCGCAAGATAGAGATACACAGAAAATGACCTGGGTAGCCAAATTTGTTGAAGAACTTAAAAAAGACAGAATGGTTCTGCCAGCATTAAAACAGATCAGAGAAATATGTCAGCTGTTTACAGAGGCTCCTCCGACTCATTCACATCTTCAGAGGCCCCAAACCAATTACAGAAATAAAGTCATTAGTTATTTGCATAATCAGTTCACCATTGTCAAGCTTGTTAGTGATAGCCTCGAAGTCTACATGGATCGGGCTAGAAAGTATGCCAAAGAACATCCCGATGAGGACCCCAGTAAAATTTTTCCAGACGGTCGATTCAATCACCATCAACAAGTCAATGACAGGTTGAAGTTTTTGAGATTTCTTCTGAAAGATGGTCAGTTGTGGCTCTGCAAGCCCCAGGCTAATCAGATTTGGACAACATTAGCTGAAAATGCTGTCTACCCAATGGACAGAGAGAATTGTTTTAAATGGTACAGCAAATTGATGGGCGATGAACCAGATCTTGATCCAGAAATCACTAAGGAATTCTTTCAGCAGTACATCCTCAAGTTTGATCCTGCACTTCTGACTGAGAGTGGAATGATCTGCTTTGAACGCTTCTTTCGCTTCATAAATTTAAAAGATGGAAAATTTTATCCAAAGAGAAGGGGTGGGTACTTTATGGAGAACTTGAATCTTTTGGGTGTTGAGTATCTCTGGAGGGTTGTATCGTACAGCCCTGATGAGGTTGCGGAGAAAGGAATTCTACTGTTGAAAGACGTCTACACGAACCTAGGTGCACAACTGCAAGCTAAGCAGGTTGAAATACATGAAGATTTTTTGCAGGATTGTTTGAATCGCTTGAAAGCCATGTATGATACAGTCAAAGCTCTACAAAAGTTTGATTCTACAAACAAACAACAGCCATCTAAACAGCTCTCTCCAACACAACAAAATCACATCTCTCAGTCACCAAAATCTTCACAAGAACAGTTGGATGAAGATCAGCAGCAGCAGCAGATGAGACAACACGAACAACAAATTCAACAGGAAGCAAATCGCATGATAAGAATATTAACAGTTTTGAAGGTTTACATAGTGGAGTGTGACGAAGCCTACTGCGAAGAGAGGGCCATTTTGCCACTTGTCAGAGCTTGCAGAGGCAAACAAGTCAACCTCATCATCAGATGTCCCAACCAGGGTCGCCCTATCGATGATATTGAACTATGGTCTCACACAAATGAAACAATTGGTATGTATTAGTTATGTTGTCCTTTAAAAATCTAGCCCATTTGAAGTAATATCTGTTGATTATGCATATGTATTTAATATTTTTATATCATTGTAAACTACAAAATCCTAATACTTCTTATAACTACTAAGGTAATGTTAGGAGGCAGTTGGCCAGTAGGATGAAAGGTAACAACTTCAAAGTCGAGTTGTGCCTGAATGGAGATGTTATAGATCCGTGCAACGATAGGAAGTTAGTGTCTCAGTTGGGGGCACATGACAAGATACAGTTAACAGTCAAGTATCTCCAAGTGGGCACCCACAACCCTTCAAGCCCTGACAGCAGTTCTGGCAGTTCCATTGGCTCCATGCATAATATTTATGAAGGTTGGTCGGTCTAAATTAAAAAAGAACACATTTTTATATTATGTTTGTTATTTTATTATTTTAAAATTCAATAAATATTTTTGCTAGATGTTTATTAATGCTACCCTATAAAAGCAATTTCAATAAAATACCCTGCTGCATCAGGTCCTAACATAGAAGCAGAAAATTGTCTTCCAGGGGTACTGCTAGCACACAAACTCATGTACACTAATTTCCTCTTTAACCTGGCTGATCTCGGTTGCCAACTAGATGTTCCCATGCTCAGAGATTGTGCCAGGGAGATTCTCAAGTTTATGCCTGCAGGTTAGCTTGCCTTCTTGTTTCTGAATGTTACTGTTGTTGATGCACATTCATTTCTCTGTATGGAATTGCAGTGCAAGCTGGAGTGAATGTTTAATGAAATCGTTGTCAGTCAGCAAGTAGAATGCTGCAGTTTTAAACTGCTTTGAAAAATTTATCTTGGATGTTTTTTTAAATCTATGATGAATTCAAGATATAATCACATCTACAATCTTTGCCCTACAGATTCCAATGCAGTTGAACGACTGATAAAAATTTGCAAAGAGCATGTAAACAGACACCCATTGGAGAAACCCATCATCATAGCACCTGACCTCGAAGCTCTCTTCTTTGGCCCTGGACCATCCCAGGTGTTGTACTACCTGGATGTTATGCACTCCATCCTGGTGCCAGCCACCAGCAACAGTGCTAACGTGACTTGGAACTTTCAGAAAAACTTTCTACTAAGTGGCGGTGTACCCCTCTGCCTGAAGATAATATCAAGCGATGATTTCCTACAGAATTCAGACCCGACAACAAAACGTAGCTGCTACTTGACCTGCTTAAAAATCCTTAAGCTCATCATGCCGGCTGTAGGGTACGGCTACATACAGATGGTCAGCGATGCCATGCAAAACAACACAACAAATCTAGTGGCCTTGACCCCCACCATGCATGCACATGCTGTCCTTCTTCAAAAGGCCTTCATGAACATTCCCAACCCTAACGAGAATATCATCAAATCCTGGTCCCTCAAGCTAGGCCAAGAACTCTCTCTTAAGGTTTTTTTTTTTTTGAGAGTCCCAGTTGAATGTTTATGTTGATAGTTTGCTTGTTTGCCCTTTCATTCATTGCATTGCATTATTTTATGCTTCTTCTCTTTCTGTCTGTCAGCCAGTTAAGAGAATGAAATTTTGTTTTTTATAGTGGTTTGTTAGCCTTTCTAGAACATTCTCTATGTTTAATTTTACTAGAATTTTTGTTTTTGTGTTTATAGTTCATTCATATTATTTTTATTCAGTATTTACTTAACAATTTGCTAAAAATTAACCTCAATGGAAATAGTGTGGATATTTGTAATAAATTATAAATTTACTTTATGTCTTTGTGATAAATGTTTCTGCAATTGAAAATAACCTTTATTAATTTTTTTTTGTCAATATTTAGTTGTGAGAGATTGTATATTATTTGATTTGACAACTGCTATATAAATGACTAGACACCTGAATACGTTTACATTTTTTTTTCACCAATCAGATCACTGGAGTTTTGCCAAATGAGGTCGTCTTGAAAGCCCTCCAGAGAATCATTTGGTCGTGTTTCAACGAACCGTCATCACTGACGTCATCGCCATCTTCGCTCCTGGTCAAGCTGAGTGAGAGTGATTGGAAAGTGGCCGGTGATGGTTCAGTATATGGAAATTACGACATGGATGTTGGTAGCTTTTGCAGTTGTTGTTGTTCTTGTTCGGCCGTTGTCGTTGACTGTATGGTATTTCGTTTATATATATATTTTTTTTCATCCTACCTTCCACTACCTCACCAGTACCAGGATGCAGATGAGGTGAACCTATGCCACGAGTCTCTTGAGTTACTGACCGTATGCATCGTACTCTGCCAAGAGTCTGTTGACGTCATCTGCAAGGATAAAGCCTGGCAGACTTTTATCATCAGCCTGCTACTTGGATGTAAAAATAGGTCGGTTTGTCTGCGGTCTGTTAGTTACTTTACACAGTCACTCACACACACACACACACACACTCATACACATACACATACACACATACTCATACACACACACACACACACGCACAATAGCTTGTACATTTGCTTGTACACATCAATACCGATATACACATAATACACCATTTGTACGTTACATTGTATGCATGCAATTTAAATGTCTACATAGTTATTTTCCTCTACTAGGTCAATAAGAATAATGGCTTCGGATCAGTTTTATCAAGTGGCGACGAATGTGACGAGTAGTAACAACAAGCTGGTCATCTACTTTATAACGTTACTCTTCACACTGCTTTCTGTACGTTCATTATGTGTTGTTTATGTACGTGTATATATGTGCATATGAATTGATTGATTGATTGATTTGGTTGAGTAATTGATTGATTGATTGGTTGAGTGATTGAATGAGTGATTGAATGAGTGATTGAATGAGTGATTGATTGATTGATTGATTGATTGATTGATTGATTGATTGATTGATTGATTGATTGATTGATTGATTGATTGATTGATTGATTGATTGATTGATTGATTGATTGATTGATTGATTGATTGATTGATTGATTGATTGATTGATTGATTGATTGATTGATTGATTGATTGATTGATTGATTGATTGATTGATTGATTGATTGATTGATTGATTGATTGATTGATTGATTGATTGATTGATTGATTGATTGATTGATTGATTGATTGATTGATTGATTGATTGATTGATTGATTGATTGATTGATTGATTGATTGATTGATTGATTGATTGATTGATTGATAAATTGTTCAATCAATAAATACACATTACTTTTTAATTTTTCCCACACAGGACAATGCTGCAATGCTGTCTCCAGAGTATTTCAATTTACTTTGCAGGTAGCCTTTTGGACCAATATTTATCTAAAAAATAATATGGCGCGTGTTTTTGTATGCGTGTTTAAAGGTGTGTTTGTTTGTGTGTGTATGTGTTTGTGTGTGTATGTGTGTGTGTTCGTCTGTTAACTATTTTTATAAGTATGGAATAAAATACTAACTCAACTACTACTGCTGCTGCTGCTTCTATTACAGTTTCTTCTACTATTAATACTACCACTTCTGCTACTGCTAATACTTTTACTACAGCTACTACTACTGCTAGCTATAGTTACTACAACTTTGTAAATTATTTTTTAATTATTAACAGGCTGTTGAATTATACCTGCGAGTTTGGGATTCCATTGAACCAGGCAGAGGCTCTTCTAAATCAGGAGATTGTCTGGCTCAAAAGATTGCGGGTCCGTGATTGATTTGGTTGATTGATTGATTAGTTGATTGATTGATTTATTAATTTTTTAAATAAATTTCTGATTGATTTATTTATTGAGTGAAAGATTGATTGATTGATTAATTAACTAATGATTCATCAGATGATTGACATTTTGTAACGGTTTACATTTTTTGATTCCTATTTTCAAACCATAATAAGCGTCTTTATGAATCTATCAACCATATAACAACAAGTCAACCAATCAATCAACCAATCAATCAACCAACTAACCAATCAACCAAACAACCAATCAGACCTCGGCCCTAGGGACAGGAATTATAAATGTGACCGACCTGTTACTGGAGGGCCACCTCAGTATCATGAAGGAACTCGTGCTCTTCCAGTCATCTGATAAAAAACATTACATTGGCTCTGCTCCTACTGGTCATAACCTCATCAAGGTTGTTGTTTTGATTATGACGTCATTGTTGTTGAGGATGATGATCTGGAGTTGATAATCACGATCTGATGAGATGATATACATAAATGATTCCTGACTGATGAACAACAAATTTTTTTTCTTTGACACGTAGGAGCTTGTAGATGATTTCATATTCACGGCTTCGAAAGTGATGTTGCAGTGCGAGAAGAACCAGGGTGACGCCCAGCATCTGGACCACACGTCGTCCATCTGCTCGAGTCCTCAAACCATTCAGGCCGCGTTCGAACTCCTCATCAGTCTCATAACCGAATGCCTGCCTAACCTCAAGGCTCTCTCTGAGATGCTCACTGCTATGTTCTATTCCAGTTTGTTTCTCTTGCCTTCATGTTTTTTTACTGTTGCTGTAGTTGACGCAGTTGTTAACGCTACTCATAAAACAGCGTCGCTATCGCTACCGCTATCGTTACTGCTAACAAAATGTAGCGCCGCTATCGCAATTGATACTTAAATGGAAAAGTTTGAAAAGTAACGTCAGAGTTGCTGCTATTTTCGAACTGTTATATAAAATGTTGATTGTTTCATATACAATCTAATAAAAAAAAATTTGCAACTCGCTCAATAAATGTAGCAGTGTTGCAGATACTGAAAAAGGTGGTAGGGCTACTGCTACTCCGCTATTGACAGCCCCTGTAGTTGATGTTCTTGTCGTTGATCTAGTTGAAGTTTAATTTCAATTCATCAATTAATTAATCAATTAATCTATCAATCAGTCAAACAAACAAACCAACATTCAATCAAAAAGATATAGAGACTCCACTCCTTGAATGGGAGTACATCCCACCCATTGGAGCCAAACCTCTGAACGGATTTGTGGGTCTCAAGAACGCTGGCGCCACTTGTTACATGAACTCTGTACTGCAGCAGGTGGAGTGCGTGCGTGTGTGTGCTGTGTGTGTGTGCGAGTTTTGTGTGTGTGGGTGCATTTTGTGTGTGTGTGTGTGTGTTTGTTATCATTTTCATCACATGATTATGGAAATTATCAGCACATGACAATGACATCTTAACACACCACCACCACCATCATCGTCGTCAACGTCAAACAGTTATTCATGATAGAACCGATTCGAGACTATATCCTATGTGTGGAGGGGGCTGTCGATGACCAGCTGGACATTGATGACGTAGAGGAGAAACCTGAATACGAGGTTCACACCGCTGTAAGATTTTTATTTTATTATTTTTATTTTTTCATAATAATAATAATAATAATTAATAATAATAATAATATTGATTATAATAATTGTTGTTGTCGTTATTTATATTACTGTTGTTGTTATACACGAATTTGCATATTACATGTATGTGGTGTCTGTGTGTATGTGAGTGTGTGTGTGTGTGTGATAATATGCGTGCGTGCGTGCGTGTTATTCCATGCTACACATGTTATGTATGCCGAATATGTTATATGTTAATATATAATACATTGCAATATATACATATATATAAATATACATAGAATGTACTATTGTACAAAAAGCAACAGCCATTTGAGAACCAGACAGAGGAGCCATCGACATTGGTGGCAAACGTGGCAACTTCGTCGACGACAACCACAACGGCATCAGCTTTAACGAGTAGTCAAATTATCGAAGGCCCCAACAAAATGGCTGCCAAGGCAGACGAGAGGAAGGAGTATAATCTGAAGGTTTGTTGCCTGATTGGCTTATTGATTGGTTAGTTAGTTGGCTGGCTGCTGATTGGTTGATTGAATGAATGATTTGATTGGTTGATTGGCTGATAATGGTGAATGTGACGATGGTTACGACGATGATGGCGGTAAATAAATTAAATATACGAACAACACGCAGGTATTGAAATGTGTGCAGTACATTTTCGCACATTTGGCCTGCAGCAAGATGCAATTCTATGTTCCTAAGGGTTTCTGGAAGCATTTCAAGTCAGTTCTATACACTCGAACTTACACGCACACACACACACACAACTAACAAACACACACACACACACAACAAATAAACACGCACATACATACACACAACAAACAATTACACACACACATACACATACACACAAAAAACAAACACACACACACACACGTATATACATTCACACACACACACACACGTATATATATTCCCAGACTGCAAGGCGAGCCAGTGAACTTGAGGGAACAGCACGATGCATTGGAATTTTTCAATAGTCTTGTGGACAGTCTGGATGAAGCCCTGAAAGCCCTGGAACTCGTTCCTATTGTCAGCAAGGTTTGGTGACTTGTTGGGCTTAATATGTTTCAGCTGCATGTTTCAGTGTATTATGATTCAAAATCTATCTAACTAGTTATTTAACTGATGATGCCTCAAAAAGGTCCTTGGAGGTTCCTTTGCAGATCAGAAGATTTGTAGAGATTGCCCACACAGGTCTCTTGAAATTTTCTGTTCATATTGTTTGCTAACATGCACTAAAGTTGATTTGCTAATGTTGATCTTCCATTAATTGTTTTCGAGTAACGCTTTGACGACGTTGTTAAATATAACGCATGAATAAACATGTTGGAATGTTTTATTGAATATTTATTATAAACTAATAAACTTTAAAAAATTTGTGTCGAAAAATTTCGTAAGACCAACATCATATGTGCCAATTGTTCAATTAATTACTCTTAAGATATTCAAGAGAAGAGTCATTCACAGTGTTGAACATAGACATCAGGAACCAGCAGAACTTACTTGAATCACTTGAGCAGTATGTTAAAGGTGATCTGCTTGAAGGAGGCAATGCTTATCATTGTGAGAAGTGCAATAAGAAGGTCCGTCTGTCTGTATGTGTGTTTATGTCTGTCTGTCTGTTTGTCTGTTTGTCTGTATGTATGAATGTGTGTGTATGTCTGTTTGTCTGTATGTATGAATGTGTGTGTGTGTCTGTCTGTCTGTCTGTTTTATAACTCTCACTCCATTCCTTGATTAATTAATTAATTAATTAATTATGATGATGATGTGTTTCAGGTTGACACAGTCAAGAGGTTATGTATAAAGAAACTACCCCCGATATTAGCCATTCAGCTAAAAAGATTTGATTACGATTGGGAAAGGTGGGCTTGCGCTTATTATTATTATTGATGTTGCCAATACTAAATTATAATTAATTAATTTATTTATTTATTAAACAGGGAATGTGCTATTAAGTTTAATGATTATTTTGAGTTTCCACGACAAATTGACATGATGCCTTATACTGTTACTGGATTGGCTAAAGCTGAAGGTTTCTTTGTTTGTGTGTGTGTGTGTGTGTGTTTGTGTTTGTATGTTTGTAAGTGTGTCTGGTGATGATGATAATGGCGTTTACACTAATAAAGTTGATGATGCAGAAGATGATGATGGTGATGATGTTTAAGGTGACAATGATAATAACACAGGGGAGTGGATCTTAGATGACAATGATAACGCTCAGCCTGGGGGGGAAGGTAGTGCGGATGATGAAAACACCAAGTACAACTTGGTTGGGGTTGTCGTGCACAGTGGACAGGCCAGCGGAGGTCATTACTTCTCGTATATACTTCATCGGTTAGTTGGTTGGCTCGTTGGTTAGCTGGCTGGCTGGTTGGCTGGTTGTATGAAACAGCTGGCTAATTGTTGGTTATAACAGCATTGTTACTAACCCACCTCCCAGTAACAAAGACAATGACGAACGCTGGTATAAATTCGACGACGGTGACGTCAGCCCATTCAAGATGGACGACGACGAAGAGATGAAGACTCATTGTTTCGGTGGTGAATACGTGGGAGAGGTTTTTGATAACATACTCAAAAGGTGTGTCTTTGTATTTTTTGCTGTTTTATTTATGTATCTTTATGTTTGCAGGCCGTGTTGTTTGTTTGTCTTTATTGTTAGTATGTGTTTGTGTGCGTGTGCGTGTGTGTGTTGGTGAGTAGTTTTCTATGTCTTCTTTATGCGTGTTGATTCGTTTATATTTTGCTAAGTGCTAGTTGAGCCCATGCTTGGCTTTATGGCTTTATAATTGGCGTCTACATTAGTGATTGTGTGTAAATTGTAAATTGTACACAATTTTTTCCTAACTATCCTTTCTTTCTTTTTTTTGTTGCTAGGATGAAATTCAGCCGACAGAAGAGATGGTGGAATGCCTACATATTGTTCTACGAGAAGATAGTTCCCAATGAAATCTCGAAACAGGCACAGCAGTCACAAGCTCAGCTGCTGCAGTCGCAACTTGCTAGCAGCAGCTGCTCCATCTCAGACGGCAACGAAAAGAACGACGATGATGTCAAACAACAGCTACTACTACTGTCGCCTCAAACATCTAACAAACTTTTTCCTGATATTAAATCCGGTTCGTCATCCTATTTCTAAAAAAAATAGAATGGAAGATGAAAGAGGAGAGAGCAATTTAATTAATTAATTAATTAATTAATTAATTAATTAACAACCGCCTCCATCTTATCCAGACATACCAAAGACTATAAAGATGCCGAAGGTAATCGAGCAGTGCGTGCGACGACAGAACATTCGATTCCTACACAACAGGAATCAATTCTCACCCGAGTACTTCAGATTCATGAGGGGCATCCTACACTGTAACATCAAACTCGTACTGCCTGGGGCACTCAATAATCACCAGCACAACACCAATCTAAGTGTCAGTGCCTTTTCTGTTTCGCTGCTCTTTACCTTTACTTTTTGTACATCGTTACTACTGCCTTCTGTTTCTTATTTGGCGTTTATCTGGTTTTTGAGATTTTTTTTTTACATCATACCCCATCAACAATAGTGACATTAACAAATCAACAACCACACTGACATCCACAACACCAACAACAACAACAGCAACAACAACAACATTACAACAACAACAACACTAACAAAACAACGCCAACAATGACACACGACCAACAACCACGCACCTAGGCGCAAGAGATAGACGAGATTGCCATGTGTAGCACACAACTCGTTGTTAAGTTCCTATTCAACATTGGATTCCACACCAAGAAGAGTTTGAGGTTGGCTTTGGTTTATTTATTCTACAGGTTGATTGGGTATAGATTTATTTGGCAATTGGTAAATTAGTTTTAATGAAATAAATTATAATTAAATAAATAAATTATAAATAAATGTTTATTATTCATAATAAATATTTTATAAAAAATTTTGTTTGAAATAATCAAAGGGGTCCGGCTAACGAGTGGTTGGAAGCCATTCTTCCCTACTTTCGAAATGTCCGATCGATTCGGAACTGGTTCATACAGAATATTCTATTCAATCGACCGACCAGGTTTGCAGAGTTCATGCTTGAGTGTCCCAGTACCGAGGTCAGTTCTGTTGGGTCTTGCTTAGGTTTTATTGATTGGTTGGTTGGTTGGCTGGCTGGCTGACTGGCTAGTTCAGTTAACTAGTTTTGAGGATATTTAGAGTTTTCAATACTGACAATTTTTAAAAGTCTAATTGTTAATAATTGGTTAATTTGTCTATCAATTAATTATTCAATTAATCAATTTACTTAATTAATTAATTCATTCATTCATCAATTGACCGCCAGATTCGAAACGTTTTTATGCGTATGATGGTTTACTTAGCTCACTTCTCTCGTCAAGATGGTCCTTGCTCGCCGTCAATCACTCCATGTTTGTCTACTTTTCATTTCAGAAATTAATCACACACACATACACACACACAGACACACACACACACACACACACAAACATGATACCAACAAAAAAAACCAAACCAGTGTATCCATCACAAGAGTCGAACATGACGTCCAGTGACCACATCCTGAGGGCCATGCTCTCCCTCTTGAAGAAGGAGGTTTCGGAACATAGCAGGCACCTGCCACAGTACTTTCAGTTCTTCATCATGTATGCCAATCTGGGAATTCCTGAGGTGATAGTGATAACGTTTCACCATTATACAACACCCTGTGTTTAAACGTTAATACAAACATATACAAACTGTACAGCGCAAAAATACAAATAACTTACAACAACTAAAACACACAAACACGACAACAACAACAACTACAACAACAACAACTACTACAGCGCCATCAACTGATAAACCTTGGTGTACCTGAACTCTTTCTAATTGTTGCCATGGATGAGAGTAAGATACCTAGCATTAAGTATCAGAGTACCGAACTAACCAAGGTCTACGCTGTTATATCTGTGTTAGTTCGGTGCTGCGATGTTTCTGCCTTCTGCTCGTCATCTCTACAGGTTGGCTGTTTGCTTTTTGACACATGCATTGTTATCTATCAAGTTGGATTAATCTTTCTTTCTTTTTATGCCTTCATCTTCATAACTTTGTTGTGGTTCATTGAAATTATTTGAACGTACGTTGAACCAATCTGGGTGGAGTTTTTGTTATAGGAGATAGATGATAAACTATAGCAATCAAACAAACAAGTTGGTGCAGTTTATAGCAAACTGCACCGATCTGAAGGGAGCGTCATTATGTGGATAATATAATGAACCAATCAGTCAGAACAGAGCGAAACTTCATTACATAAATTACAAAACTGAACCAATCAGAACAAAGCTCCATTGCCCAATCCCCACAAAGATCAATCTATGAATAACAAATACGTGGCTGTCATACAGCCCGCTGTAGCTGACATACTTTTCAAGAATATTCCGTGAGATTTCTACTTTTTCTCCATTCATTCGTTCATTCGTTCGTTCGTTCGTTCGTTCATTCATTCATTCCATTCGTTCATATTAATTGAGTGATTGAGATATTAGAATGATTGTAAAAAAAGATATGATATGATGTGATGTGATATGATGTGATTTGATATGATATGATATGATATATGAAGATTATCTTTTATTTCCTTCCAGATTTATAAAGAAGTTAATAGTAGATTGCAACAACTACGACGAAACTAACAGACTCCTCAAGGTTACTGACTAATTTGTGCCGTTATGATTCAGTCAATCAAATTAGTTTGATGTATTTCATTTCACGAATTCAATTGTCAATTTTAATAATTCGATTTTTTCAAAATGAACTAACTGATTTGAGTGCACTTCAACTTTAGAAAAATATTTAATTGACCGACTAACTGACTGACTGACTGATTGATTGATTGATTAGTTTGCCAGTTGGATTGATTGATTGATTGGTTGATTGATTGATTGATTGATTGTATTAAATTTGAATCTTGCCAGTTCTGTAGCTGGGAAAATCCTACCTTCTCCTCCACCGTCTTGAGTGAGTTACTTTGGCAGATCGCATACGTCAGCCTGTATGAACTTCGACCTTACCTAGATATCCTGCTGCACATGCTCTTCCTTGAAGATAGCTGGCAGACGCACCGCATACACAACTCTCTTAAAGGATTTGGGGGTTAGGGTTGTTTTTAAAATCTGTTATTAGAAGTTAGCCATATCTCAGGCGGTAAAATTGTTGAATGCTGCGACGCTGTTATTACTCAGTGACCTGGTTCGAATGCTGCCTGAAAACTCTAAGAAAATTATATACCTTGTGTGTTTTGTATTGTGTGGTTTTTATAACAACGGTCCTGAGAATAGCATTACTGATGATGATGTAGATGGTAATAATATTGGTAATAGTGATGATGATGATATTAATGACGACGACGACGTTGATGATGATGATACTAATGACAATGATGATGATGATACTAAGGTTTAGATGAGAGGGGAGGGCTGTTTGATACGATACAAATGTCAAGGTCGCAGAACCACAAAAGGGCATACCAGTGCATAAAGATGATAGTCACATTGTTTGCAAAGTTAGAAGTCTCCTCATTACCACTCACTCACTCACTCACTCACTTACTCACTCACTCACTCACTCATTATCTCAACAATATTTTCATCGTTATCGTCTAAATGTTGTACAGCTCGATTAGATAGAGTGCATTTTTATTAGAACGTTTTATGCTAATCATAAGGGCTATCTATTTATAATATTTTATAATTAGCTGGGTTAATTATATCATTTAATATGCAGATGTGCACTGTCCGTAGACTTGGTCTTGAATAATAATGAGATGAGGTACAAGTGGATTAATTCCGTGGAATGGCTGCAAGATGAACTCGACAGGGTTGGTAATGATTGTGATAATGACGGGGATGGTTATGATTGTGGTTGTTATTGTTGATGTTATTATTATTATTGTTGTTGTTGTTGTTGTTATTATTACAATGATGATGGGTGTGATGTTTATTTATCATTTGAAGTTGAATGAGTTACCGTGCTAAATGGCTGAAAAGTGCCGGTAATTAAGATGACGACGACAATGATGCTGATAATGACGACGATTATGATGATGATGCGATATAGATTTATAAGCCATCGTCATCATCATCAATTTAATCATCATACAGAGACCATACTCCAACAATACCCAATACCCGTACAATTGGTCCCAGACACAATCTAATGAAACATCTAATGGGTAGGCCCGATTGATTGATTGATTGATTGATTGATTGATTGATTGATTGATTGATTGATTGATTGATTGATTGATTGATTGATTGATTGATCGATTGATTGATTGATCGATTGATTGATCGATTGATTGATCGATTGATTGATCGATTGATTGATCGATTGATTGATCGATTGATTGATCGATTGATTGATCGATTGATTGATCGATTGATTGATCGATTGATTGATTGATTTATAACGATTATAACAAAAAAATTATGATAATAATTTGTTAGTTATTTCTTGGAACGGACGAACAGCGCTCAGATGACCTTGAAGAAGGCTCTCGAATACTGCCCTGATGATGTGGTGAGTAAGTGAGTGAGTGAGTGAGTAAATGAACGAGAAAAACTTGGATCGTGGCTGAAATTTCTGTTGCCAAACATTTGATGACTTGAATGATGATGATGGTGATGAACGAAGGGATGATGAGGATGTTGATGATGATGTTGCCTTTGTTAGTGACTATGAAGACGATGATGATGATGGTGATGAAGAAGATGATAATGGTGAAGAAGATGATGATGATGGTTATGATGGTTGTACAGGAGCAGGAAGACAACATGTTGATAATGGAGGAGAGTGAAAACAACAGTAGGTCAGTTGATAATGGAGAAACTTCACAAGATGGCGTCGACGAGGTTGTATGAGTTGATTGATTGATTAATTGATTGGTTGATTTGATTGATTGATTGGTTGATTGATTGATTGGTTGATTGATTGATTGATTGATTGATCGATTGATTGATTGATTGATTGATTGATTGATTGATTGATTGATTGATTGATTGATTGATTGATTGATTGATTGATTGATTGATTGAACTGGCAGGAAAAATTGGAGCAGCTACAAAATCAACTGAAACAGCTGAACATACAACAATCAACATCTGTCGAAAACATTATTGACAATGAAACCCGGATATCGTCATCATCGTCATCACTCAACAACAACAACAACAGCAACAACAACAACAGCAACAGCAACATGAGTAATAATAGTAATAATAACAGCATTAATAATAATAATAATATCATAAATAAACAACTCTCACTGCCTGTTCAAAAACAGTTTCTACAGCAAACAAATCAACAACTACAGCAACAAAAATCACCTCTTCTTCAATATCATCCACAGCAACAACAAACATTATCGCCAAAACATCAACAACAACAACAGCTATCTCTACAACAACAGCAACAGGTATCACCCCAACAACAACAACAACAACAACAACAACAGGTTTCACCACAACACCAACAACAACAGCTATCTCCGCAACAACAACAGCTATTTTCGCAACAACAACAGATATCTCCACAGCAACAACAACAACAGGTATCTCCACAGCAACAACAGCTGTCGCCACAACAACAACAGCTGTCGCCACAACAACAACAGCTGTCCCCACAACAACAACAACAACAGTTATCACAACAACAACAGCTATCACCAAAGCAACAACAACAACAGCTATCACCAAAGCAACAACAGCAGCTCTCCCCACTGTCACCATCACCGATACAACAACAAAATGCAGACAAGCCGTCAACAACAATAACAGATGTTGTAGTTGTCGATCAAGATATCCAATATTGAATTAATTATTTAATTGATTAATTAAGTGTATTAATTAGTAACTCTTGATTAATTAATTGAATGAATGAGTGAGTGAACGAGCGAACGAATGAATGAATGAGTGATTGATTGATTGATTGATCGAACGAATGAATCTTAATTGATTTACTGATATATTTATTGACTGAATAATCGAATGAATAACTGATGTATTGGTTGAATGAATTGTAATTGGTTGATTGATTGATTGATTGATTTATTTCATTATTCACTTATTTATTGACTGATTAATTGGTTGATTGAATAATTAATGGATGGAATGATTGATCGATTGAACGAACAAATGAGTGAATGATGAAATGAATGATATGAATGAATGAATGAATGATAGATTGATCGTTATTCAATCATTTGGTTTTATTTAGCGCTTATTCTCTCAAAATATTAATAAAAATCATCAATGGACTCTCCTTCTTTTTTCTGCTGTCCAGAGCATGAGTTTTTTTTTCCAAATTGAGAAGAAACGTTGGAAAGATGGAAAGATGGTTTGGATGTGATCGCACTCACAAGAAACCTTCTTCGTCCTAATATCATCATCACCATCGTCCCCATCATCATTATCATTACCATCATCGTCATCGTCATTCTTGTTAACGTCATCGTCATTATCTTCACCATCGTCTTTATCATTATTATTATTATTATTATAATTATTATGATAATAATTATTATTATTATCATTATCACATCATCGTCATCATTAAAATAGACATTCATTTTGGCTTAGTCAGTATCGTCGTCATCATCATCGTCATCATCACCATCATCATCACCATCATCAATATTATTATTATAATTACTTTTATTATTATTATTTTATTATTATTATTATAACTATAGTTAGTCTCTACGGAAGACGTGTATATATATAAAATGCAAAACTTAATGTAAGATACGGAGAGATATAGTACCGATATGGAGTGTATTATGTATGCTATGTTATATGCTGTACATAAATTAATAATAATAATAATAATAATAATAGCGTAATAATAATAATAATAACATTATAAAGTTGAATTTTATATCAGCAACTGCGTTGAACAACTATACAGCTATTATTATTATTTTTCTAGCTTGCTTAGTAATTATTATTATTGTTATTATTAATATTATTATTTATTATTATTATATGAAAATAATATTGACCCAAATAGGTATATTCTGATGAAAATTACGTTATAATTATTTTATATTATTTCATGTCGTTTCGTTTATAATATAATAATAATAGTTTGGCACTGTTTTTAATTATTCATAAATACGTCTATACACTTGCTCGTCTATATGTCTAACCATATTATTGATAAATATTAATAAAATAATAATAAAATAATAATATTAAATAATATTTTTTTATGTTTGTATACTTTTTTAGGTTTATACTAAACAGACAATTAAGTTTTTCTGTTTTTTGTTTCATTCAGATTTGTGTATGTATGTGCGTGCGTATGTGTGTGCGTGCGGGTGTGTGGGTTGGGATCGTCATCATCATCAATTTAGATTTCGTTGTGATGGTTTTATCATTATCTTTTTTTTATTTGTCATCGTACGCTGGCTAAATTTTCTTCTCATCATAAGCATCTTCATCATCATCGTCATTATCATCATCATTATCATCATCGCTGTCATCATCATTATCAATACTTGCTTACCTGCTGCATACTATTACGATAGCAAGAAATCTTCTGTTCACGTTTTATTCATTTTCTGCTCTTTTTTTATCATATCAGTCGATCATTAATTCGCTTGGTCATTCATTCATTCATTCGTTCGTTCGATTGATTGATTGATCGATTGACTGGTTGGTTGGCTGGTTGGTTGTTTGGTTAGCTGGTTAGAAAACACACTATTATTTATAACATAATCTGAAATGTGAAATTTTCATAATTACAGCAGAGAAGTATGGACGGACTGAAGAGATTTGAGTTACTCATCATTATCGTCATCATCATTGTTCATCAGTATCATCATCATCGTCGTCGTTCTAATTATAATTATTAACATTAATAATTATACAAATTATTATCTAATAATATTAATAAAAATATATTTGGAATAATAATAATTGTGATTTTTTACCAAATTACTCAAAAAGTAATTAAAATTATTTTGAAAAATATACTTAAATAAAATTCTTCTCTTGTGTGTGTCAGTTTGCCATTATTACTATTATTATTATCACTAATGACGTCATTATTATTATCATTATTATTGTTGTTGTTGTTGCTGCTGCTGCTGCTGTTGTGGCGGTTGTTGTTATTATTATTACTATTTTTTCTTGTACGCTTAATCATTATAGAGACGATTGAACCTTTAGAAAATGTGTATAGAGTGATGAAGACGTGATGATATAATAATAATAATAATTATTATTACTATTATTATTATTATTATTTATATAATTGCTATTACTAATTTTAAGGAAAATTATTTTTCTTCAAAAACTGTGATCTTTATTTAAAAGTTTATTATTATTATTACTATTATAATAATAATTACTACTATAATTATTATGAATATATATATATGTTCATATATATATATGAATATATATATATGTTATCAATTTGATTAAAAGTGAACTGAAACTATTGTCATCTGCCACACTATATATGTGTTTATATTTATATTATATATATATATATATGCGTGCGGGCTATTGTAATTTGTAAACATCAATGTATTATTATTATTATTACTATATACGTTTATTATTATTCATTATTATTTGTTACTATTATTATTGTTCTGTTCTATGCTTTTACCATAGATTTGTCGTTGTCGTTCATATTATTATTATTATGATTTATATTATATATATATATATATATATATAATATATATATATATGTATATATATATATATATAAATACATTCATTCAAATGTGGTTTTATGTTATTATTATTTAAGGGTCGTTGATTATTATGATGGATATAAATAATATTAATGAATAATAATTGATAATTGTAACGAATTTGTAACAATATTTTCATGTTAGCTTGTTTATATCTTCCAATTCGAAATTAAAAGATATATAATAATAAAAAAAATAATAATAATAAAATCCAAATGTCGTCTCTTTTGTTTTTTTTTGGGGTTTGTAGACCGCTGAAACAAGACGTCAAAATGGAAATTCGTTTTTTTTTTTTTTTTTTTCTATAAAATACATTTATTAGTAAAACTCATCATCTAGCACGAGAACATGAATGAAATATAAAATGATGATAGTGCAATAAAAATCTCATTCTTTGTTTAGTAGTGTTGGTAACAAATACTTAAATATATATATATTTTTTTAAATGTATATATATATATATATATATATATATGATTAAACGTATAATAATACATTATGTATATATATATATATATATATATATTATATAACTTTATATAAAATTTTATGTAAAATATGAACGCGTTATATTAATTGCTTTGATAACAAAGGCTTTTTCCATCCGTAAAAATACTTAGCATTACCATTAAAATACAAATATTATTAATATAAATAAAAATACTAACAACAACAATAATAATAATGATAATTATTATTATTATTATTTTTTAGTGATAAGCAATGAATAAAGAATAAAAATATTTATCGGTATTATTTTAGTTTAAACTTTAATTGCACTTGTAACAAATAAACAATGGAAATTAAATACTGTATATATATATATATATATATATATATATATATATATATATATATATATATATATATGTGTGTGTGTGTGTGTGTGTGTGTGTTTTTGTATAGTATAATATAATTATGGCTCATAAATACTCTGTTTTTAATATGACCGATCGGTTAATAATAAGCTAAATGTATCATATATCATATATTATACGTCTGTGTAGGACTGTTTATGATCACGAATTGTACCGCGAATACCGAGAACAATACCAGCTTTAAAAGGTATCGACAACTGCCTTTTGAAGGAGTGCAGGCAAAACCGATACTTTGCAAATTTGTATCTTCAAACTGGGATCGCTATTCAATCGGTATTGAATACAAAACATGAAATTAAATGAGTGGCGACAGATTGGTTTAACCATTCCCAAAGGTGTTGCCCATGTGGCGTCACCCATGTCAACCAAAGCCATTAATATAAAAGTATCGTCGATTCGATACGATCCGATACAATATCGAGAGTTAGCGATACTTCGGTATTAACTACCCTGATTTAGCATTATGTTTTTCAATGTGAATGGTTTATTATCGTCTTAATAATAAACTTTTATGTTATAAAAAAGCTTATGAAGCTTGACTGTTTAATGTAATGAATTCGTACACCGACACGTATAAATGAATGAATGAAAGAAAATGAGTAAATGAATGAATTAAAATGAGTGAGTGAGTGAATGAATGAATGAATGATTGATTGATTGAATTCTTAAGGGAAAAAACGGTAATAATAATTGAACGCGTTTTCT